TCCCAGCGAGAAAGCAGATCCGCGTCGTCGTTCTTCTCACCAGAGATGTGACTGCAGTCCAGAGTGACGCCAGTGATAGAGCTCCACATCGAAAGCTTCCGTACAAAGAGATTAAGTGGGACTTTGGATGTGTAAAGCTTGTTACACACAGATTCAGCCCCACTATTATCACTCAAAGCTGGCAATGCGAGAGCCAAGCATCCTGAGCCATGAGCTTTCCAAAAAGACAGCAAAAACAAAGCATTGAGCCAGAGTCTCATAGCTGGAGATGTCCAGGTTGGCATTGGGCTGCATGGGGGAGACCAAGGCTGGTGAAGTCTCCGACAGTGTAGCGGTACGAGAACCAAAGCAGGCGCTCGGAAGGTAAGCGGAGCCATCCACCGACGCCACAGTCACTGCCCTTGCCAAAAGCATCAGCTGCCGAACATACCTGACATACGGGTGCGGTCGAGGTGGCATACTTGGAGGCTCATGGGACTAAGCAAGGGTATACGTAGGTTATACTTAGGATAACCCCACTTAAGGGACTTATAACCCCACTTATAATCTACTTACTAAGTCCCATGATCCTCCAAATAGGTCGCCACTCGCGAGAGCTCAAGTGGGCAAAGAAAGCCAAGGTTTCCTTGCTGGCAGCTGAAACTCTCCGCTGCGAGAAAGCGGGGTCAGACACTCGAAGCCACATGCGTTCAGTGCTGACCGGTACTGAGGCCAGATCATCCTTGTTGCGCAAAGCTATGCCTCGCAGAAAGCAGTGTGGAACCTTCCGAGATAGGTGGGCCCGAGGCTTCTCGTCAAGGTAAGCGCGAATACCTGGCCAGGATCGAGCAAGGGCTGATGCTGACGTTGGTGCCCAGAGGTCTGTGCATGTCATCGTACAGAGTGCACAAAGCTGGAAGCTCGTATCCACTGAAGCAGACCAAGAAGCTTGTCCAACTGTTTTTTGCTCAACAAGCGGTGTCTTAGACATTCCTCCACCTGAGAAAGCAGCTTCGCACGTTTGGCCTCGGGAAGTGTACAGCAGCCGGCACCGAAATTGATCTTCCACCCTGTCCAGGTTAGAACAGGTCCGAGCTGGAGTTTCTCCACCTTTCGGGGTATTGAAGCACTAAGCACTAAGTGGTAGCACGTGCGTTTTGCCCAAGAAGCAAGTCATCAACGTACATCCTCATGCGCCAACCAAATAAGAAGATGCAAGCAGCAGGTGAAGAAGCCTTCCAAGCGAGCAAACCAGTGCTTCACGCGGAAGTACCGCGTGACTGTGTGCCCGGAATTTACCTGGAGGAGGCCAACCTACGAGGACAGGCTTTTTGTGAGTTGATTGTGCGACTGCTAGCGAACCCCGACGGATTATTGCTGGCTCACATCCACGCTATGCTTGTGGCGCGGAGCTCCAATCGCAGCTCCCTGAACATATTGGGCTGTCTCGGAGCTTCCAAGACTTTCTCTCTCTTCCTCGCAGTGCTCTGCATCGACGCTGTACTCGACTTTCGGGTGGTATGGACCTCTCAACAGCATGCGGCACTGTTGGCCGTCTGATGATCTCGCACAATGTGCTGATAGACGCGCCCAAGTGGCTGCACCGCCTTCAGCTTGTCAGGCGGGTTTCTGGCAAGCAGGAGTTGTTTTCACCTGTGCATGATCATGTGCCCCTTAGTTGGACAGAAAGGCAAAGGCAAGGGCAAGGGGTCGACCCTGGATGATCCCGCGGATCTACTGCAGCGGGATGGGCTTCTGCCTGGCTTGGGGAAAGACGACGCCCCTCCGCCCTCGGAGGCACGCATACTTTTGGTCACACAGGGCTGCCGCCGGGGCACGGCTTGTGCCAGATAGATCTACCAGGCGGAAGGCTTGGAGACCATCAACGGAGTTGCGTTTAACAATTTAACCTGGACCTGGTCAGCTCTACACGCCTGCTTATTCAGGTCTACCTTATGGTCTCTGCGCGCTACCCGCAAGCCGTCCAGTGGCGGTTGACACCTGCGGTGCCTGGCTCACACGCCTATAGCATTGGTCGCGTTGCCGCCGCCAGCCCTGCCAGAGTAGGGACCCTCCACCACCCGCTTGGCCAATGGCAGCGCGGAGACTCCGATTCCTGGAGATACTCGCGCCTGCACCGCACTTGGCACCCTGACCAACTGCGACATCTGTTGTCCGTTGTCCTGGTGCACATGTACATCACGCAGGAACATCGAACACGGGCTCTAGGTGTGCTGCACATTTTCCAATCTTACGTAGGGCTCAGCAATGCTGGGCTGAGAGATCAGAATGAGAGAATCCAGCTGAGCGATGTGGAGCCCGGGAAAATCTTCTCGGAATGGGTCCGTGAGCAGGAACCGACGCTTTCCGCACCTGGGGGAGTTACAACTGTCGAACAGGCTAAGGCCATTCGGCGGTTCCTGGACCACCGCCACGGAGCTTGGTCCCTTCATCGACATTTTTACGGCCACGGCCTGCGCAAGTTCTACAGGGGCCGTCAATGTGTGCATTGTGGATCGAGTGGGTGAATTTACGGAGTGTGGAGAAGCAGCGTCAGCGTCTCACGGCTGCAATGACAAGCGGCACAGGACCGCTTCTCATCGTCTCGCCAGCGCATGCTTCTGGGCTGCTTGCCGCTGCGCACAGGAAGCACATGAACTCCTGCGTGGTGTGATCTATGGCAATGTGCGCCAAGTAAAAGCTGCCTGGGAGAGAAGCAACCGACCACTTCGCATCATAGCTGTCCACTGTCATTTCAGTAACATCTCCAACCTCTGCTCTACCCAAGATACTACGTAGTTACGTAGGTGCGGCTGCTCAAAGGCATCATAGAGGCGCTCTGGCGGCTCGGCTCCTTTGGCACGCCCCCGAAGCCTGCAGAGGGAGTTTTCGTCAAAGACTGCACTGAGAAGAGGGCGGTAGCTTCCATGAGTGGGTATCGTGGGTGCCGATGGAATTCAGTGATAAATAACATCGCTCTCGCTATCTCTCCGAGCCTGGGGAGGCGGCAATCCCACGTTGTCTCGAAAGGTTTGCCACTGCATTTCCGAGCTATGTAGCCGGGCGTGCGGTTGTCAGGCGGACGGTCAGCGCAGGCGCGGGCGTCAAGGAGGATCCCGCCTTTGCGGACGAGCTTTACAGCACGGGCTGTACCGAAGTCTTCAAGCCTACATCTTGGCATGCGGACATGGCGGAACTGCTCAGGGCGCTGGGCGCTGGATGCCGCACCCACTCAACGCCCCACCCTCACAGGGCTCATAAGCAACGTTGCACCCACCCCGTAGCCCCCTTTATTACTTCGCAGCTACCTTATGTCCTTCGAGGGAGGCGATTGATAACCTATCAAGAGGAAGGGGAAACGACTAGGGCCTTGTACCTCGAACCGCTCAGAGAGACCACTGCGGAAACTCTCGCCATTGTCTTTCCTGGAGCTGTTTCCCAGCCAGTTTTGTTGAGTCAGAGCGATTCCAGCCAGGCGATCATCAACCACACCGACTCGTCATGGTCGGTTGTGCTGCAAGTCGACTGGGGTCAGTGTGTTGCCCAGCGCCTTTTTGGGATTGGTAAGAAGCAGCAAGTCGAGCTCGCCACACTACCTATAGCTCAGGCTGTCTTTGCAGCCGTCTTCCATCGTATAGGGGGTGCGCACATTCCAAACGACTTTTGGCACTTTAAGACTGGGGACGTGCAGCCAGAAGCTGATTTGCTCCATATTGTCCATCTTGCCTTCTCCTACTTCCTACGCCTTTTATCAGAGGTCTGTTGTGACTCTGTACCAGGCTGAATGGTATGAGAACGGAGGTTCGAACATCCACAACATTCGACAACTACCACCACACCCTCTGCAGCCCTCAGCGACCTACGACGCAGCGTAGTAACTTTTACTTTTTCTTTGGGCCCCGGTTTTGTCAGCCCAACCAGCCGACATCTATCGAACTTGAGTGAAAAGGCTGCGTTTAGGGGTAGGGCTTAGGGTGCAAGGCAATTTAGGGGATAAGGGTTGCGTTACTGCCAGCATTGCACACTGCAGGTTTTTTGAAGCTTCAAAACGCATTGAGGCCCAGAGCGGTAAGCTTGTATTGCAAGTGCCCAGAAAAAGCAGACACAGGAAGCAGAATCCTCTAGGATTTTTTTCGTATTTGGGAACTACTGAGAATTGTGAGTTGTGGCTCTGCCTTTGAGCAAAACGTCGTTGCCTGTCACAGTTTAGTGTAGTATTGAAGCTGCCGGCGCCACACGCACTCCAAGATTGCTGGTCAACGACTTTTCTGGACGACCCTGGTCTGCAAAGAAAGTGGGGACAACAGCTCGGTATCTTACTTCGGGTTGAAGCGGCTGCCACCTGAAACCACTCAATGAAACACACATGCAGGACTCAAGGCTGTGGGTTTGAACTATTTGGAGCTTAGTCAGGGGTTTAGACTTGGGACTGTTTTACGCAGTGCCCCACGTGTCTGCGAGGCCAGTTTGTATATGGATTTTGGGAAGCAGCACGGACGCAATACCGAGGGCAGCTAATGGCAGCTGCAACTATGCATGGACATAGAACGTCACATCACAATCAAGCGATCGCAAGAAGCCTTGCCCTAAACCGGAAACCCCTAAACCCTAATGCCTAAACCCCTGAGTGTTATGCTGAGCGCTTGCTTTTTGAGGAACGAGCAAGCCTGCATGTCCTGTGTGATTAACTTTTTGCGCGCGCACTGCCTGGCAAATGTGAGAATCCAGGCAATGTTCAAGCTACTACACGACATGATGCTACAACTACAACCGGTACTTCCCCCTGTCTGACACTTACTGGCAGCGGTTGGGACGCCAGCAAAGCAGGAAAAACCCCGAAAACCGCCCGAAAATCTGCTGACCCCAGGCCCTCCCAGCAGAATGCATGGGTAGGCACCATGGGCATCGAGCAGCACGGACTTGCACATTCATCTGAATGTGAGCAGAGGAGCAACAGCACTGCTCAGTGATTTTGGGCTTCACTTGCAGCGGCTGCCTGTGGAGCAGCAGGAGGCGGCTGCTTAGCAGCAACTTCCAACGCCCGCTGGCTGCTTTGTCGCAACTTCCTCTGCGGGCGGTGCCACTGGCTGCTTTGCCGCAGGCTTTGCCTGCTCTTTGTCAGTTGGCTTGGCCTTCTCTTTGTCACTCATCATCAACTCATGGATCTTCGTCATTCTTTCAACGTTTTGGCCCCTTGCTGCAACGATTTTCATGAAGAGCTCATAGTCATCAGCGCTGGAGCTGAGCATGAAGGACTTGCGCACCCCGAACAGGTGGACTGATGGATTTGCAATTTCCACCACCACCCAGCCCACTGGGACAAAGAGCAACTCACCTTTATGCTGCGTCGTTTCGAGGATTTCAACTCCGCTCTTGCATAAGTCAAGCAAGCCCTGGGCATCGAGCCCTTTCAAATGCTCTATGGCCGACATGAGATCGTGCTCTGAGTCAATGGCTTTCATCTTGTAAAGAACTCCAAGCAAGCCCTTTGCACGCAGAAAGATGTGACGAACCTCTCCACTCACCAGCAACTTCATCATGCAGCTGTGGTTCGGGAGAACGTTGACGGTTTTGATCTCTGCCGCACATCCATAAAGCCAACATGCGGACATGAAGCCAGAGCCACCAGGGACACTTGTGACATCTGTCACGTCACTCTTCTTGGCGAGGCTTTCGAATAACTTGGTCATGACTTCTTTCCCCTTGCCTTCCTGCATTGCCACAGTAACTGTGTCCAATTTGGTTTGCGCCTGCATCCTCTTGTATTGCGCCCCCCACGCAGCCAAGCTTTTCTGCACAGCCGCATCGCCCAGCGCCTCAATCAATGCCTCATGTTTCTCGGCCAACTTCCATGGCGATCTCCAAATCTCTTGCCTGCCGGTGGCCAAATCCGCTGCAGCATAGGTTTGGACTAGATCAATACCGTCAACTGAGGCCGTGAAGAGACTGGGGACGGCGGCCCCGGCAGCCTTCCTGCTCTTGATCTCTGCGACCTTTTCTGTTGCTTCCAGCCTTGCTTTCTTGAGTGCTTCCTTTTCATCGTTGGTTTGCTTTCGTTTCTTCTGCCGCTTGTCTTCCGCGATCATCGACTTCAAGTGCTTGATCACGTCATCGGAACTTACCTTGGAGCCCTTGACGCACATGTGGATGGCCTTCTCAGCATCCTGCCAAGTTTTCTTGCTTGCGAGAAACTCCTCAGCCGTGGCACAATCCAAGACTGTCTCCTGCTGTTGACGCAAAGAGTCCAATGTGCAGATGCCGTCCCCGTCCCAAAACTTCTGGGAAATGACAAACTCCTGAGCCAGAAAATCCTGAAAGTCCATCTTCATGCTGTCTGCAGCCGCCTTGGTTAAATCCTCTTGCGTGTGCCCTGTCATCACCGAACCAGGTGACGGCGGGTTTGTCACACCCGCAGCCGCATTTGCATCAGGCACCAACTTATCAGGCACCAGCTTAGTGATGAGGTCAGGCTGACCAGCCAAGCGAGCAATCACCTCAAAGCGAAACTGGTAGATCCGCAAGAACTGCAAGGCGGCTCGATCCTTGCTCTTCAGCTCCGAAGGATGCTTCTGCCAAGCTTCCTGGACTTGCGTGAACACCCCCAGTTGCTTGGACAACTCGTTGCGCAGCTTATTCATGCCCGACTCCATTTGCCGATGCAGCATCGGGCGCTCACGAGTTAAGTTCACTTCCTTGGTCTTCTCAGGCGTCACGATGGCTTCCCCCGTATTGCCAGGCTCAGCAGGCTTCGATTTCTTAGGAGTGACCTGATGAACATCCTTGTGTTGCTCGGCAGTTATGTTGAACAGATCTGAGCTGAAACTCATATCCTGTCTGTTCAGATGCTTGGCCAACATGTCACGGGTCTCCATGCTTGGTGCCTTCATGTGCTCTGAAGACTCAATGACCTGATGATCGCGGTAGTGCTCCCTGGCTCTCAGCTTCATTTTGTGCGCTGGCACCCAGAGCTGCTCTGCGCCTTTAAACCCATCATTGTCGCGTGCAATCAACGGGTTGTTGTAGAGCTCTTGCCAGTACCTGGCAGCAGCGAGATGAACACCAGAAGCGCAACACAGGATCAACAAACTTTATCCTTATAAGCCAATCCTTTCAAATGTAATCTCGAAAAACAGGAAAACTTCACAAGTGAACTATTTCCTTTCATCAAAGAAATATTGAACATGACTGATGAATATATTATTTCCAACTATTCGGGTAAGGTACACATACAGCAAGTGCAATCCAACTATTCAGGTAAGGTACACATACACCAAGTGCAACGAAGCGAGGCAGTCGGACACCTTCTTTTTCAATCCAAAGCGGGGTATGTCTGGTGAGTCCGTAGCTAAAGAAGGTGCACACACCAGCAAGGATGCACACATCCAACAAGATGACCGGCACACCGTCATCACTCACCCACCCCAGGGGAGGGCGGGCGGGACAAAAATTTCTCATGAGCTGCACACAGCCAAAACTGCAACATCAAGCGTGAATGTTGAGCAAGTGGTCAATCGTCACAATGCATCAAATGCCAAAGACAAGTCGCCAGCAAATCATAAAGATCAAAAATTAGCAAAGGCGACACCGACAGAGAATAGTTTGGGAAATAAAATGCTGTCTCGCAAGCGAGAAGGCTTATTTATTTCCAACTATTCAGGTAAGGTACACATACAGCAAGTGCAATCCAACTATTCAGGTAAGGTACACATACACCAAGTGCAACGAAGCGAGGCAGTCGGACACCTTCTTTTTCAATCCAAAGCGGGGTATGTCTGGTGAGTCCGTAGCTAAAGAAGGTGCACACACCAGCAAGGATGCACACATCCAACAAGATGACCGGCACACCGTCATCACTCACCCACCCCACTCAAGAAGATGACGGCTAGGGAAGGGTTATGATGGATTGCACTAAGCTGTCGAAAAGAGCTCTCACGCAAGGCTCTGTCGATGCGCGACTGCGAGGAAGCATACTGCAGTCCTTACCTCTACTGGGGTGGTCTGCCACATTGCTGCACGACGGGACACGTGCTAGCCAGGGCAGCACCGTGTGCGATTCACAAGTCTTAGCGAAGATGTGACAGATCCGCGTGATAGACCAAGACGATGAGCAGCCCTTGATCAGCGAACATCGTGCGCCTTCGTTGTCAAGGTATGCCACGCACTCGGTGGACTTCAAGTGTTCCTCCCACAGCTGAAATGCAAGTACAACCGCTATCGCTTCCAACTCGCCGATGCCTGTCTCCGCTTTCAAGGGCAGCAAAGGGCGAATGTCGGCGCTCTCCAGGAGCAGTGAAAACCACCCGACTACGGAACCCGAAGGCGAGATCAGCACACCACCTAAACCTCCGGTATAGTCAGGCTCAAAACTGGCATCAGTGTACACGAACCATGGCAGGCCTAGCGGCTTATGAATCCTTCTGGGTTGTCCTTCAAGTATGCGAGCCATCAGAAAGCTCAATGCGTCGGTCGTGGCAGCACTCAACTTCGGCATGAAAGGGTATGCATGCACGTGTGTGCTGACATGCTTGAGGGCGTAATGCCCGGCTTTACCCATAACCTGCGAGTTTGCAAAAGCAAGTTTGCCACGCAACTCCATGCCACCTTTGTAAGAGAGCTGGCCCTTGGCAAGCACGTCCGAAACCAAAGCATGGATGTCCCTCTTCCTCTTCTCGGTGTTGTCCACGGTAACGACACCACCCCCGCTCTCAGACAAGTCAAAGTGCAATCCAAGAGCCGAGACATCCCGAGAGAAGGTGTCGGCTTTCGGGCCCACTGTGTCGAACACCCAACCTAACAGCTGGAACAGTAGCTCCATCGTGCTTCCTGTATTGTCTGCTAGGCAGTCGGGCGACGCTACTATGAAGTCGTCGTAATATGAAGTCGTCGGTACAAGGAGGCAGCGCGTCGCTAACCATTGGATGCACCGAGAGCACCTGATAAAGCCGTTGACCGATGCTCGGGAACCGAACGGGAGGCAAATCTGTGTGAAAAGGCATGTCTTCCCCGTGTGAGGGTTGTAAACGGCAATCACAGCAAACTTCCTGGAGGCAGTGGAGACACACAGCTGCCGATATGCAGCGGTCAAGTCGAAAGAACGGCCCTTGATCCAGGAGGGTCGCTTGGCCTTCCCGAGTCCCTCGCACAGTTTGGCAAACATGGCGGCCGCCACGTCCGCCGTGTCCACTGTGGGCTGCTCTAGGGTGGTCACGCATGCATTCACCCCGCTGCGGCTGTAGTCATCGATGGGCCGCAATTTGTCGTGTTGCCACAAAGGGAAGCGGTGCGATACGACATACCCGTCGGGCAGGTCGTCCCAACCATATGGGCCCACAAGCCAGCCCCTGTCTACCTCCTGCATGGTCTTTTCCCACAACTTCAAGTCAGTGGCATGATCCCCCGATGAACCAAGCGACATCCGAAGGGCTTCATTTGCGCGACCCGCGGCAGCGCTGACATCGTCAGGGTGAAGGGATGCTGGAGACACTTTCCCAGGCAGCACGTTCGACACAGGCGAGGTCCCCACTAAGTCGAAACCCGATCTTATGTCACTGGCCAAGCTCACATCCTCATAGCCCTCGCTCGCGATAATCTCATCCAACAGCTGTAGTCGTTTGCTTCGCAGCACCTCCCTCATGTGCGGGTCCTCGACTTCCCAGATAGGGTCGGGACGCACACCTATCTTAGCGGCGCGGGCGGTCCACTTATCCAGCCACTGCTTGCGCCGCTCGACGATGGCACTCGGCGGGGCCTTCGACACTAGATCTATGCAAGATTCAAGATGTGCTGGCAACGAGTCAACCATTGCTTTAGGGTGACCCGCCTTCACGGCGGCACGCACGAACTCGCTTTCAGTATGATACACGCCAAACGTCAAGGTACACAGCTCTCGATCCCGCTCCTCGGCAAGCTCAACTTGTGGAGTGTCAGCCCCGTCAACCTGAGGCGCCGCGATGGCTGGCAGGATCGGGGGGTTGTGACCCGGCAGCGGAAAGCCCAGGTGTAGAAGAAGTCTAGTGTCACTCTGCTTCAGCGACGAAAGATTTCTCGGAGTGAAGCCGATCAGGACGATTCTTGATCCGAGCCAAGGCAAGGTGCAATGAAAGCGGTGTGCATCAAAATGCACGGGGCCCTCGCAGACTTGCAATACACGGCCTGTGGATTGGCCGCATGGCGTCATCCGGGAGTGAGTGCCCCCATCATCCTGCACCCAAATGCCTCCATCTTTGAAAGATGTGAGGGGAGCAACATAGTTCAGCGTGCCCTCCAAGTTGTTTGCATCCCTGTGCATCGGAGTGCAAACGTTGGAGTAAAAGGCAATCGTCGCGAAGCATGCATCTGGGAAGCATGTACGCAAGTACCTGACCGCGGCAGAGACAACACGAGGGAAAGCTCTGGTGTGCTTCCGCAGGCCACATAGCTTGTTCTGGGAATAAGCTCCCGCGGTCCAAGCCTTCTCACGAGCATCATCAACGCCACGTGCTGGCACTTCAGCTGGTAAGGTTTCGAATATACTGACAAGGCTGCTGGCATCAACTCTAGCACCAAGATTCGAGGCCAGCATCTCTGCTTCACACTCGGTCGCACATACCAGCGAGCCTGAACATGTGGGGCTTAAAGCTAATGGAGCAGCACCGCCTACACCCGAAGGGGAAAAGGGGAAGGCGGGAGAACCACAACTGGAAGGTGCTGCTCGCCCAACAGACTGCATGCGAGGGGGCATATCGGCATCGCAAGAGGGATGAACACTATCACAGGCAGCACCCACTAGACCCGAAGAGGAAGGGAAGGCACCGGCGGAACCACAAGGGGGGGGTGCTGCCTGATTCACACCACTCGACGCGTCCGAAGCGTCTGGATTGTGTTCGGCGAGCGATGCTCCAGCCTGCGAAGTACGGTGCACCTGGTTGCAGATCAAACCTTCCCCCTCTACACGATCGGCAGCCAGTCGAGAAAGAGGCGGCACAAGCTTGGAACCAGCAGGCACAACAGTGTCCTGCACGCGAAGAGTGGTCAGCAGCCGGTTCTTGGAGTCCAGGGGTGGACATTGCGGCACAGCAATTTGCACAAAACGCTTAAATTCAGGAACTGGGGCCAGAGGGAACTTGCGTGGCTGCATCCCCGTCGCAACCTGAGCTGCAGCAAGTGGTGGAACCTGCGGAGTGCGAACATGCAGATGCTCGAGCATGACTGATGCGAGCGCACGGTAGAGCTGCCCCAAAGCAACATCAGTGGAAGACTTTTGGCGACTGGCAGTCGCCAAGCTCGCACAAGATCGAAGGACAAGTGGCAGGGAGGATGCAAACCGAATGCAACCGGGTGTTGGGGAGCCAAAGGCATTGAGATCAATGTCAACCGAAGATTTAATCAAGCTCTTACCCAAGTCAGTTGTCCAGAACGACGACCTCGATGCAGCTTCCACCGTCCAAGGCGTTTCGGTATCATTGCAGTGTTTCAAAAGCTGAGAGATTGTACACACAGCGGTCAGCATTGTCACAGGAAGGATGCGGAGATTTCTGACGATTTGGAAATATAGAACGAGGGCACCTGATATGCACCCAAGCACATGAAAGTTCGCGGGCCCATGACGCACAAAGGGCAAGGCCACCCGGAGACAAAATATCCATTGGAACAACCGGTGCCGCGGCTGCCTGTGAGTAACCCTTGCCAACTGCAAAGGAATTCGGCAACCCCATTCGGAGACAACCACACAAGCAGGCACGACGAGCAAAAACTTCAACGCAAAATGCGCTTGCACTGCAAAATTTGCCGTCATCTGACGGCTGGCGCTGTTGTTGCACAGGTGCCTCAGACTCTTCGGGATCAGCATGTGCAATGAGATCACCTGTGCACACTGCATGTCACTCAGAAGTGGCCGAGTCATGCTCGGACATGGGATGCGATTTGTAACAGCCCGGCTTGCAACACACATGCTTGAACTTGCACTTCGCACCCGCTTTGCACTTTCCAAGATTAAAATTGAAACAGATGGGTTTGTTGTCAGGCGTCCGCGAGTGCATCCCTTTCAAGGCATCTGGTATTGGGTCGCGGGTGATCTTCAACTTCTTATTTTTGCCATCCCCTGGTGTGTCGCTAGTGCGCTTCTTTCCATTGCCTTTGTCGCCAGGCTTGCCGGAGCCCTTGCCCTTACCTTTGACAGGTAGCAGAAAATACATGACCGATTGGTTGTACTCCAGCTTCTCAAACTCCTTGTCGAGCGGGAGCACGCCCCTTGCATCAGGCTTCAGGTTCCCATTGCACGTGCGGGCAAGCTCCAAGAAACATTGCCGATCTGCCCTCAGCACCTGTGCCCTCGAGACCTTCTGGAACTCCGGTGGCGGGTCCTGGCTCATGATGCGGAAGAGCCGTTCATTCCACTTCTGCACCGTCTCATAAGAAGCTAAACCAACAAGGTCCATGGCCAAAGCTCGCCTCATCATTGCCTGGTAAAGTTGCAAATCGCTGTCCACTGACATGGTGGCCAGGGCTTCCTCATCCTTCACCACGATGCCCATCTTATTAGCGTCGAGCTGCAAGGCCTTGGGAGGCTTCTCACAACACAGCTCAGCATCACGGGTGATGCACTCGCCGGGGGAGAGGTACTTCAGTTCGTCGTTCTCGCGCATGTTTGCGAGCTTGTCATACACGCAATGGGCTACGGACAAAGGGCCCTCCAGCGGGAGGCCTTTGAGGCGTTGCTTCTGATCCTCGATGCGCATTGAGCGCTCCGATGCCGGAAGCTTCCGAGACACATCCTCACCGGATTGCATGGTAGCTCGGAGCTCTGCCACTGTCATGGTCTGGGCTTCGAAGATAAGCTGTTTCATTGCGGAGCTGTCGCCCAAATTGACTCTCGCCCCGGGCCTCAAAGTAGCAGTGAAGCTATCCATCTCGTCGGCCGTCGGTTGCGTTCCTGGGAGCGATACTGCATAGCTCAACTTGCCCAGCGTAGTGATGCCTGAAGCTTTCATGGCAGCGATCCAATCCGCTGCCAAGCCCACCCTTTCACATTGCTTGTCGAAGGCTGCAGCCGAAGTAAGAATTGAAACCGCCGCCATCCCGCAAGGTCACCAATCTCTACACTGCTGTGAAGTACAATGTGTCAACAAGGGTCCAGGCCTGATCTAGATAGAACATGCAAGCGCCTGGTCCGAATGCACACAAGCTGTTGAAACAAAGCGAGTAGACAAAAGCATGGACATGACATGTCTATCATAGGCCTCAGCCATAACTGGTGCATTCACAAAGATCATGAACTGGTGCTGACCATTGCCCAAGCACAGTAAGGCATCCACTAGATGGTGCATTCACTCAAACAGCACATGCTGCACACAGCATGGGCAAATCAGACTGCACACAGTCGCATCCGCACTTCAAGAACATTTTCATACGCAGCTCACACTAGCTACGATCCATAAGCTCATTGAGCTTGTTGGCCAAAGCCCCTTGGGAGTCCAGCAGTTCTCCCTTCCAGCACACTGCGCACCTAGTCCACTTAAAGTAAGCACCCTCAAGCCACCTGTACACCGTGGTCGTCCGTCGACCACAACGGGTCCTACATGCTGACTGGTCGCCCTGGGCTCGATGCAACATCCTGGATTTGACGTGTTGCCAACAAGGTTCGTTGATCTCATAGTCCTGGTTGACTCCGCAACTCGAAACCAACTGCTCCTCATCTTCACTGTCACCTGAAGAGCTAGAGCTCGAAGAGGAGGATGAGCTCGTCTGCGCCAAGGCAGCCTCCTGCATAGGTGTCGCAGGCACACTACTTGCATGCACAATCGGAGACGGTGCACAATCCCCGGGCGTCGGCGAATGTTCTGAAGGTGGGCTTGCTGAACCGTTATCAACCCGATCCCAAGAACTGAAGTCTGGATCATGCTCAGATGCCGATGAGTCAGGGGCACGGTTGAGTGAGCGGTAGTGCTCCAACTCGCCGTGTTCATCGAGATCATCTCCTTGTCCCGTCCCGCTAGCTGCAGGACCCTCAGCTTGCACGGTCGGAGCTTCGAAGGGGCATGCATCCTTGGGGTCATCGAGGAAGGAATCCCGAAAGGCACGCAGATTCTCGTCAGCATGTGAGGCAAGCCACCCCGAACGGGTTGCATCGGGCTTGAAAATGTTTGTGCGTATCTCCCATAACATTCTACGGTAAGCCCTCAGCGGTGCGCTCAGCAACTCTCGGCTGTAACAAGCAAGTGAACTGGAACCTGTCGCGTGATGACCTAGCAAAAGGCCTTCGCGCTCTCCAAAGCCCCGTCTCCCTGTCCAGGCCAAGGTTGTCCCTTTGAGCACATGAGACGTGCGACGGCTCTCGCCTTCCAAGCCTAGGGCATTGCAAAGCATCGAGCCTGCTTCACTGGAGGTGCACCTCCTCTTACACAGCTTGCCGGAGCTGTCCGGGGCACGCACGAGGGGCCCAAAAGGCACTACCGACCAATCAACCCCAAGCCTCTGACCCGCCTGCCACCAAGCCTTGACCCAATTGGCATCGGTCACACCTGGGAAGGGTGCAACAAGCGGCATGGCTCGACGCTTGGTCCGCACTGTGTTGCTGGTCTTATGCTCGCATGTCCTCGCTTCGACGAAACCTGAGGTACAATCAGCATCATCGAAGTCGATCCAGATCGAATTAACTTTCTTCAGGTCCGACCATCTCGATCTGCTGTAAAGAGCGAACAGCTCGCCCCCAAGAACATATGTATCAACATCACAAAGAGCCTCGCCAGCCACAGCCTTTTCAAGTCTCGCCACAAGCTCAACTTTCAGGGGCTCCTGTTGTTTCACCTCGGGTTTTTCACCCGCAAGTCTCCGGGCCCTGCCCTGCAGCCGTCGGTCGTTAAGCAGATCATCGCAGAATGGCACATCCATCACATGGTGAGCGAAATTGATGGCCTCAAAGAGACTGCTCACCGCGCTTGAAGATTCTCCAAGTGACTTCACGAAGGCAGTAACAGACTCTCTGTCCCACGGCCATGTAACACTTCTCTCCTTTTGATGCCACCTGAGACATCGCAACAGAGCATTGGCGCGTTTGATCGCCGTACGGGGCGAACGCAGGCCGAAGACGTCCCTGAGCAACTCGTCCCTGGCCTTTTCACCTTCTGCAACCAAACACTGCGCAGCCTGCACACCGACTGAACCGGGATCCTCATTGGCAAGGGTGAAGATGCAGCACCACTTATTGATAGCTAAAACCCACAAATGCTCTTCCTCGTTCGGTTAATGTATTCGCAGCTGCTTCCTATTTGCAGCTTTATATGTAATGGAAATACATATAAAGCGAAAGGAAATATTCAAAAGGAATATATAAATGGAATTGATGCAGTCGCTCAACACTCGCTCCTTTTGTTCTCTGGCGGGAATGCAGATCGTTTTGTCCGAGCAAGGAATGGACCTTGCAGTGAAACTGATCTGCATGTTTTCCCCCATCCGGTGAGATCGAGGTGCATCAAAAGGCACCGACCTGTCACCGATGAAGGAATGCAGAATGGTCAATCTTCTTAGAAGATGGCCAAGAAAGCTTCGCCTGATGTTGATGCAGACATCCACAGAAATGCAAGCAAGAAAGACCGCCACCAGAATGCAGATGCCAGCAATGTACTCCCCAATAAAAGGGAAGAGGTGGGTGGGACAAAATTTTTGCCTGCGATGCAGGCGAGCTGGCAGCTGCGAGCCTGCTTGCTGCAATGAACATTGAATGTCATGAAATGCAGCAAGCATGCAAAACATTACCAAACACTCGTGAGCAAGCACACATACCGTTCGGTTAATGTATTCGCAGCTGCTTCCTATTTGCAGCTTTATATGTAATGGAAATACATATAAAGCGAAAGGAAATATTCAAAAGGAATATATAAATGGAATTGATGCAGTCGCTCAACACTCGCTCCTTTTGTTCTCTGGCGGGAATGCAGATCGTTTTGTCCGAGCAAGGAATGGACCTTGCAGTGAAACTGATCTGCATGTTTTCCCCCAAATGCAAACTGCCAGAGAACCGAAGTCGCGCATCAATTCCACCAAATGAAAAACGTGCGACAAGGTGATTAGAGTGCTGCTCCCAATGGAGAAACACTCGGAACTCGAAAAGGAGGCTTCCAGCCCTCCGGAGAAAGTGAAATGGAAGGCGATGCCGTCCATAACGAGGTTAAAGGAATACGTCGACGACGCGACATGCTCCATCGATCCGGCAATGGAGCAGGAGGAAGCCAACGGCTCAAAAAGTCCGCTTCCACATTCTTAGGACCTGCGATGTGATGCACATCAAGATGCACACCAGTAAAGCTACTCAGAATGGCTAGTCGCTGCACAAATGCAGCAAGAGGCCATGAAGTCGTAAACAGTTTGTTTGCTGTGGCCTCGGCACCACTGTTGTCACACCAGGAATGCATGCGAACAGAAAGCTTGCATCCTGGGTGAACTGCACTCAAAAGCCAAACTAATGCAATCTGACCCAGGCATTCGTAACAAGTAATGTCCTTGTGCGCCTCG